GTGGTGGAGGGTGGGATGGTGGGGGCCGAGGATGGGGTGGAGGCAAAAAGGGGTGCCAAAGGGTAAGTGGGCGGAAAGCAGGCCAGAAAGATCATCCAAGAACGCGTTGAGACAGAGGATCGAGTTGAGAAAGCAGCCGTGGTCGAGCAATTGGCAAGCTGCGACAGGAGGCAGCGGGGCGGCGCAGGCGCGGCCGGCGGCACTTGGCAATGGAGATGGAGGGTGTGCTTACAGGTCGATGCCTGGCGGCCGCAGGCGGATCTCGATGCTGCGGTGGGGGCAGGCCTGCATAGGATGCAATCGTATTGTGTTGTGTTGATATTCACGCGAATTCGAGTGAGAAGGACGGGGTGCTGAGCAGGCTTTGTGAAGGACGCTCCAAAGCCAACCCGAGCTGCACCGCGCCGCCCGCGCATGCCTGCCGTGCAAGGCGGAGGCGGGGAACACAACGGGGGGCGCGCCTTCGCCAGGAGTCGCCCCTGCTCAGCCATGGGTGCGTGCCCCACATGACTCGCTGTCCACTGCCCACACCCGCGAGCGGGCCCTTCCTTCCTTCTCTTCCCGCCCCTCCCTCCCATAAAACCCTTCCCCCGGCCCCCTCATGCTGCCCCCTCAGCCTCGCCTTGAGGCACGTCATGCAGAGGACGCAGTTGCGGTTGTCCGTCAGCTGCGCCGGGTGGCTGTACACAGGGCAGCCGCCGGTGTCCTGGCCCTCCCCCTCCTCTGGGCCGCCCTGCACCGCGGATTTATTGATTTCCAAGTAGGGTGTAGATGTGAACGACAAGAGTTTACGAGCCTGTGCAGGCCGTGCGGTAACGGTGCCTTGAGCACTCACGTCGCGCAGTCAGCGCACTTGGCTCAGTCAAGATTGGCAACACCGTTGAACCCCACACCCCAAAGCCCAGCACCTCCTGGACTTCAAAAATGTAAGCCTGTAAGCCCCTCACTGTTGAATGTTCCTCGATGTATGATATGCCTCAGTCTCAAAACCCCTGCATGTCCTGAAAACCCTCGAACTCCAAACCCCACAGTACCTAGATCCATCAATGCCCACTCCCCACAACCAATCAGCCCCTCCGCCCCCAACGCCCCAGGCCCCCGGCGCGCCTTATAGCAGTGATAGGTGTTGCAGGTGCCGCTGCACACGCCCTGGCGCGCCCTCAGCTCCGTCATGCTCAGCTTCGCAAACAGCCCCTGGGAGGTTTTGAGAGGTGCCAAGTCGCGGGTGCGGTCAGCAGATCTTGAAGGGAAGAGGAGACGCTGAATTTGCAGCATGCGGACAGCATGGGGGTTTGGTCCTTGGAGTCTTTCGTGCATGGCACGATGAGTAACGCATAGCAATGCACGGGGTATTGTGGTCGGTGTTGAAGCGGGGTTTGAGGAGGGAGGGAAGGCTTGGGGGGCTGTGACTGCCACCCCTACCCCGCTCACGTTCATGCCGCCAACAGGGCAGAGGTACCTGACGGTTGTGGCATTGCATGACAGATATGAGTCAAACGATGAGTCAAGCGGCAAGGGGTGGGGTGCAGGAGAAAAAGTCAGGTGGCCCATTGGATGCGCTTCAACAACGGCTTGCAGCACGGCAAGGCCGCCGCCCGATTGGGGCGGCGTACACCCACACATCCTAACCACTCACACTCTTGCAATCAAGCGTGTAGAGTGCATGCAGGCACGCTGCGCACATGTGCGAAAACACGCACACAGACGCACGCGTACACTTGTATATACACACAGCGACAAACACAGACACACACAGACACGCGCGCACACACACACGCACACTCAAACACACACACAAACACACACACACACACACACACACACACACACACACACACACACACACATACACACACACATACAGGCACGCAAACTCACGCACCTGCACCAGATGCGCCTCTCAAAGAAGTAGGACCCCACCATGGCCCCCAGGGTGATTAGTAGCAGCAGGCAGCTGCTCAGGGCGGCGTTTTGCGGCAGGTCCCATACCTCCTCCCTTGGGGGGTGGGGTTGGAGGTAGGGGTTCTTTTGTCAGGTGTCGGGCTCGCGGCAGTCCGCGCGCATGTGTGTGTGCGTTCATGTGTGTGTGCGTTCATGTGTGTGTGTGTGTGTGTGTGTGTGTGTGTGTGTGTGTGTGTGTGTGTGTGTGCGCGCGCATGCGCGTGCGCGCGCGCGCGTGTGTGTGCGTGAGTGCATTGTGTGCGATCAAGTAAACTTGTGTGGTTTGACGCCCTGCGAAGGCGCAGCCGAGCGCGTCGTGGTAGCTGTGCAAGGACGATCTGAGGGCAGACACAAAGCAGCTGCATGGCTGGGACTGACAAGCACCAGCGCCTGCCCCCCAACGCTCAAGCCCAAATAATTCGAATCACGGCCCGCGCGCAGCCTGTTGGCGTTTGCGGGTACAACCGAGATCTCACCAGATCAGGATGGCGGCAAAAAGGCCCCACAGGAACCACCCGCCCCACTTCTCCATCTCGTCGCGCGGCCACTTCAGCAGCTGCGCCCCCTGGGACTCGCGCCAGCGCTGCACGATCTCGCCGTCTGGGGGTGTTTTGATAGGTGGATGGTTTGTTTGGTTTGCGAATTTCAGTTGGCAGGAGGGGTGGGTTGGGTGGAAGCATAGCTGGTTCAACGCCTCGGGGCGTCGGCAACCGGCGCCTGGGGGGGCGGATGCTCCAGGTTGGATGCGTGTGGGTGTGCGCCGCAAATGACCCGGTGCAACCGGCCCAGATGCGCCTGACCCCAGCCACGCACCCCTGGGTCCGCTCGGCCGCCAAACTGTTTGCGCCGCAACCTTGCCGAACGCGGGGGTCCCCGGGCCGGCCCTGTGCCAGTGGCCCCCACCTTCTGCTGATCTGCCCCACCCGAACAGCACAGCCACCCCCCCCCCCACTCACAGATCATGAAGGGGCAGACGGCGCACCACACGCGCCCGAAAAAGGGGTACACCAGGAACACGCCCGGCCACCTGCGGCCGCGGGGGCGCGGGCACGCATGGAACAGGTGAATGCCGGGCGCACAAGGACGTTGCAACCAGGCCCCCAGTCGCGGCGCGGAGTGTGTGTGTCTGTTGACACGTTCAAGGCGCTGGGACTGGATTTCCTCTCTCTCTTTTGACTCTCTTGACCCAGTGCGGGGTGATGCGACGGCGCAGGAGGTCAAATCATGTCAAACATGCGTCATATCAGATCAGGGTCAGACCTTGCCGCGCACCACCAGTCCCAGAAGAAGTTGAGGAAGACGTTGTGCTCGCGGTCCTGGGGGCCCACAAACAGCGCGATCACGATCTGACAAGTATAGAGAGGATGGTTTGATGGGATGCAACGGGTTTCATGGGGTGGGGTCGGGGGAGAGAGGGGGGAGAGAGGTGGAGGGGAGTGCATGAGCGACGGCAACCCAAGCCGACGACGGCCGTTGCGCCCGAGGCAGTGTGAACGACCTCCGAGGCCACGCGCGGTTCTTGCCTAGGCAAGGGGTGTCCTGCGGTGGCAGCGGAGGCCTCTGGCCCGCGCTCCCTGCCCTCTGACGCCGCCGGCCGGCGCACACCAGGACGAGCGGCAGCCCGGGGAGGGGGCGGGCCCTCAACCCCTCCCCACCTACATATGATTCTCCTTTGCACTCCCGAAAGACCCACGAGCGGCGCGCCGGGCCCCAACCAACATCACAGACGGGAGTGCAGGCCAACTCTAAACCCGACGCCTTGCCTGGCATTGACACTTCACGCTCCCTATACTCAGTCGAAAAACGCACCCCTAGGTGCTCACCACCGCGAACGCGTATTTGGTGAAGCCGTGGTTCAGGCCCTCTGGGAAGAAGTCGCCCCGCAGGAAGCCGCGCGCCAGGGGCAGCGAGCTCAGCAGATTGACCTTGAACCTGGGGGGGGCGGGGGGGGGGGCAGAGGGGCCGCAGTTGCGTGCGACGACGACGGCGCGGCACGACCGGGCGGTTACGGGGAGTTCAGGGGCGGACATTGGGCGGTCATGGGGCAGCTGCTGACTGTTTGTCGAGCGGTGAAGGGGAGGTTGCAAAAGGGAAGGGAGGGGGGTGCATGGGAGAGGTCTCGTGCATGTGGGAGGCAAGAGCAGAGCACTTTGCGCACGTGGGGCTGTCGCTGGTGCGTGTGAGGCGGTGATTGGAAGGGAGGAGGCGGTCAGGTGCACTTGGGCACTTGGGCACTTGGGCATGACAGGGGGTCCCGCGAAGCAGCGCGGCAGCGGCGAAACGCAAAAAGCAGTGCGGTGCCGGGGACTCTTGGCGGGGGTATGGGCAAGGACCGCCCTCGTCGGCCGCCTGCTGGCATGGCGGCCTCGGACCCACCATGAACGCCTGACTGAGACCCCATCAGGCAGAAATATCAGCCCCGCAGCCCACCAACCTGTCGGCGCTCTTGGCCGCTACCCAAAAGACGTCCTTGTCCAACTGGATCGGCCCCGGCTGTGCCGACACCGACCCCGTGCCAGCGCCCGCCTTGCCGGCGACGTCGCCGCCAGCGGGCTTGGCGCCGGCAGTGCTGGCGTCGCCGGCGATGGACTGGGTGGCTGCGCGGGCCACGAGGCCAAACAGCTCTTCCGTATTTCCTGGGAACGCGTACGCCTGAGCACGTTTGAGGGGGGGAACATGGGAGCAAATGGCGATTAGACTCCCTTTTCAGTGCATCGACAGCTGATTGCGAAAGTGATGGGAGAACACTGTTGGAACCTCTCAAATGCTACCGGTAACCTTGGAGCAGCCCGTTTTCGCGGGAAGCGGGGTGATGGAAGATGTGCGGCGCGACGCAAAAAGCAAGGGCAGGGGACGCCCTGGCCAAGCAAATTGCCCGCATGCCTGTAGCTGCCGCTCCGCCTCTGGTGTGAGCGTGAGCTGGGCGCCCGTGGTGCGGGCGATGTCCTTTAGGTACCACCTGCCGCGGCAGACGGATTGGTTGCAAGCAAGTGAACGGGTTGACTTGAGCTGGCAGCTTCAGGTGGGGGTTGCACTGTGACATGAGTGCGAGGATGGCAGGCAGGGTGTGGGGTCAGAGGCAGTGGCAAAGATTGGCTCAAGCGCTGGTCCCCGTCCATCTGAGGCACGGGCCCGCGCGCGCACACACCACGTGCGCACACGCACACACACACACACACACGCACACACACACACACACACACGCACACACACGCACGCACGCACACTCACACACGTACACACACACATGTGCAGACACTACATACACCATCCCACACGCACACAAAAACACACACGCACGCACTCACACACACACATATTCGCATCCACACCCACCGCTGAAGGTCCAGGATGTCCGCCGGCCGAACGCGCAGGGGCGGCACCGCAATGGTCGTCACCAGCTGGTCCAGCGCCGGCACTCGCTGCGACGCGGTCAGCAGGATGCGCGCGGTGTTCTTCTGCGGCGGCCGCGGCAGGTCCAGGCTGCGACAGATTGTATATGCGTGAGGGCGAGTGTGTGTCAGAGAGATAGGGAGAGATAAAATCAAGAGGTGAGGGAGAAACACAATGTGTGTGCGTGTATGCGCGCAGAAACGCGCATATACTGTGAGGTCGCATTTAATTGGACGAGTGAGTCATGGTGGAGCTTCAGGAAGGACCAAAGCATGGAAGTTAGGGGGGCAACCGCCCACCTGCTGAACTTGTTTCCGACCCAGTTGGAGGGCAGCGGCTGGTAGGTGCCCTCCTGCAGCAGCAGGCTGATCTGAAACAGGATGCTGGGGGCAGCCTGGAGAGGGGGATTGCGTGCGGGAATACGACAGCGGGGAGGGCGCGGGTGGTTGGAGCCTCACCTTGCGGTTGCGCTCGCACAATCCTGATTGGATCATTCTCCTGAATAAAGCACATACCTGGGCTGTAAACTAGAAGAGGTGTTTGAGAAAGCCCACAATGCGCTTGCATGCACACCTGCACCATCCACCCCCTGCCTCCCCCCGCATGCGCACGTGCACACACACGCACCTACACACACACACACACACGCACGCACACACACGCGTACACAAACACACACACACACACACACTCACACGCGTACACAAAAATACACGCACACGCACACACCCACCCACCCACCCACACACACACGCACACACACGCACACACACACGCACACGCACTGGACACCTAGATGGACTCACACAAAGGTATTGCATCCTCTCCTGCTCGCACCTTGTGTATGTTCTTGAGCATGACAGCGCCATCCCCGACCCAGTACAGCAGCCCCTCCTTGCTGCCGCGCCCGAACAGCTCCGCCAACAGCGACTCCCCTTGCTTGCTGGCACAGTCGATCTGATGAAATGAATCGTGTGCGGGTGCACGTACGTGTACTTGTGGGTGCGCGTGTGTGTGGGAGGGGGATGGGTGTGCATGTGTGTTGATGTGTGCTAAGATGTAAGCTCTTGCGCGCGAGTGTGAGCGTGTGTGTATGATCTTTGTTTTTGCGCAACACTTGCACACATTTGAACGTGTTTGTGTCTGCACGTGCACCCACACCCAAACCCGTGTGTGCATGAGGAGCTGTATGTGGTTGCGTGTGTACGTTCGTGGGTGTGGGTTTGAAGCCATGGCTTGGTGTGCGAGGGGCAAAAGACATCGTGAGACCAGGGATGGTCGGTTGGGGCTCCATGTGAAATCAGGGTTCTCCTTGACCTCAAAAAGAGCACCAATACCCCATGATCTCATCACCGTTTCAAGCTGAGCCCCCTGGTTGCACCACCCAGTGGACCAAGAGGAGGGCACAAACAGCAGGGCGCACACAGTAGCAAGCGTCAGCAGTGCTAAACCGCAGCGCGGCCGGCACTCGAAGCCGCATGCGCCACTGATGTCGCAGACCCCCATTCATAAGCCCCCATGGCAGCCGCCCGCCGCCCGCAAAAGACCACAGAGCAGAGGGGCTATGCTTGAGGCCGATGCCAGCCTCGTGCACGCAGGCGCCGCGCATCCGCACCTGTACCAGCGGCCCCGTGCGCGCCTTGCTGCCAAAGTGGATGAGGGATGCGAACGTCTCCTTTTGCAGGCCAGGCTCTCCAAACACCAGGACGGCGCGCCGCGTGGGGTCGCGCGATGCAACGACAATCTGCGGCACCGCAGGGCCCAGGATTCAAATCATGAACTTTCAGAGGGAGCGTTCAAACCAAGAGTTCAGGAAGTATTTCGTCCAGTGTGTAGATCAAGGTAGCGGCGCCCCGCGGCAGGGCGGGCCCCGCGGAGGGCGCGGCGTGAGCTTCAAAGGCCGGCGCGGCGCGAATGCACAAATCGCGGGGCGCAGGGGTGCGTCCTCTGAAGCCAAGCAACGAGCTGGCCGAGGCTTGAGGGCCGTGGCAAGCCCGCCCGCTGACTTGAAAGCCGGGACTAAGCCCGCGGCGTTCTTGAGCCACGGCGTGCGTGGCGCCGCGGCGCGGCGCCGCGCCTGACAAGCAAGAGAGTTTTGGACGCAGCAGGGGGTGAAGTCACACCGTGGGGGGTGTGACGTCACACCGCACCTGCTTGCGGAGCCGCTCAGCGTACTTGCTGCGCCCGATGACGCCGCGCTTAGGCGCAGCGACCACGTACGGCGCCAGCGCGCGCTGCCGCCGCTCCTCCTCCTGCGTTTCGAGGCGCCGAAAGGCGGCCGAGGTTTCCGCATGTCTGACAAGCGGTTGCATGCCTGCGCCCGGCGCCAGAGCGGGCCGCGGCGCAGAGGCGTCGGCCGCGGGTCCTGGCACGGCAGGAGTGCGCCGTGCACGTTTGTCTATCAGGTTCCAAGGTCTGGCTGTACGCGCTGCGCGGCGCCAACGCGCAGGCGCCCCCCCGCCTTCCCGCCACCTGTCGCTCCGCCGTCATCGCGTTGACCCGCCCCGTCATCTCTTGACTCAGGCGAAGGCCGACCTGGGAGCGTGGATTTGTATCCGGTTGCGGCGTTTGAGTGTCTGGGAGAAGGGGGAGAGCATCGGTGTGCGCAAACATGCATGCTGCGGTTGTCGCCGCTGATGTACGCCCCCTCTGCAAGTCTGCGGAGCCTAAACGATCCGCCAGCATGCGGCCGCCTTCGCCCATCCCCCCCCCCATCCCAAGCGCCAGGCGTCAGCGTGTCTTCCTTGTATCTCCGTGCAGCGACGCGCTCCGCCAACCAACACGCACAGCAGCATGCGCAACGAGCGACCCCGCAATCAAGGGGCTGGACCCTAAATCAGCCCCCTGGCAAAACCCTGATTGTGTCGACCAACGTTTCCAAAAACCCTCCTGTTTAGAGGAACTCATGAAAAAAGCGGCCCCTCACCTCCAGCAGCAGGTCTGGCCTTTTTGCCGCCAGGTCCCTCAGCCCCTCAGCGGGCACCACCCACAGCGTCGCAGGCGTTGCAGTGCGGACTGTGGCGGAGGCCCCCAGTCCGAGGATCAGCTCGGACTGCGGTCATTGCAGGGCGCGCAGGGCGAGCAAGGGGGGTGCAGCTGGTTCAAAGGGGTGAGGCATTTACAGGGTGGTGACTGCAGGGTGTGGGGCCAGTGTGGGCGCCACCATGGGGGCCAGTGTGGGGCCCAGTCTCGGGGCCAGTGATGGGGATTCTGGGTGTTTTGGGGTCCGCTATGGGAGTTGGCGCCGGTCCGGTGGCAAATGACCGTACAGGGCTGTGGGGGTTGGGAGGGGGCCAAGAGTCAGGGCACAAGGCACGGGATGGGTGCAGCGGCAGCAGCCAGCCGGCTCACCAAGTTGAAGAGTGTGCCGGGGCCGGCCTCGATGGACGCGGATGAGCCGTCTATATCGGGGGAAATCCGAGGGTGGGTGGGGCCCGGGTCAGCAGAGTGACGGTTGATCTGTGAGGCGCGCACCCGCACGCAGCCTTGCTGGCGCGGGCGGCGGTGCGGGGGCGCCCGCTGCCGCCTGCCGCTGCGTCGGCTTTGGCGTGGCTCAGCCGTCGCCTCGCCCACATCTCACTGATCCCCGGTCCTCAACAGTCGCCAGCTTCACGCAACAACGGCGCTCGCGCGCTGCAGCTAGCCCGGGGAGTGCAGCTGCTGCGCAGCTTCTCACCGGGCGCCGTGGTGGTCTGGTCCTGCACCCTGACCACGCCCTGCCTAACCACGATGAAGGCCTCTGGCTGCCTGCCCTGGCGCTGCAGCAGCTTCCCCTCAGGTACCACCTCAACCTCCATCAGCTGACGTCAGCAAAGCAGCGGGCACGGTGTGTGCGGTGGGCAAAATCCGTGGATGTATGATGGGATGTAAGCAAGGAGTCGACATGCTGGGGTCGTCTCCCGCTGATGGCATGAAAAGGCAGCACGGACCGGGGGCTGCATTTTGCGGCCCCGGCAGCCGCCTCACCTCTGCAATCTCTTGCACCGCCTCTGGGCTCAGCTGCGCGAATGGCATGTACTGGCGAAGCCAATTGAAGACCATGCCTGAATCCAGAATTTTGATGTGCGTGAAATCGGTCGACGCCATCGCCTGCTGAGTCAGCGTGTCGCCTTGAGGGTTGTCCCCGGGTGCCGGCGCCGCCGCCGCGGACGACGCGGCCGGCGGCGGGGCCGCCGGCGCGCGGCGGGGGCGCGGGTGGG